GAAAGCTTTCTCTTTTCCATATGAGTAAGGCTGGGTTTACTCAGATGTTGCAAGCTTGTATGTGGGTCTATACGTGGTCCCTTCCTCCTAATAACCTGCCAACACTACTATATATATTTTTTTAATTTTTATTGTGATTTGGGTAAAAGTTTACAGAGCAAATTCATTTTCCATATAGTAGTTCATACACATTTTGTTCCTGACACTGACTGCAATTCCGCACAATGTAACAGGTCTCTTCCTACTTCTTCCCTGTATGTAGTTGCCTCTTCCCTGTATCCTTCTTTCCCATGCATTCCTGCCTCCTGAGCTATTTCCCTGTACAAATACTGCCCTTCTGTTCTCCGATGATTGATCACTTTAAGGAGTGTATTATCTGGTTCACCCTATGTGCTTGTCTGTAGTTTGGCTGGAAGCCACGGGAATGAGTTCACTTCCAGACCTGAAGGGTAACTAGGGGCCATAGTCTCAGAGGTCTCACCAGGCTCTATCAGACCAGTAAATCTGGTAAGACAGTAGGTTTTGAAGCATAAATAGTTTTACCAGACTTATGTGGGAAAAGGGTGACAAAAAAAGAAACTTGGGGGTTTCTTATGGACTTTTACCATATTCCAACAGCATTCTTTAATGAAATGGAAAAACTAATCATGAACTTTACATGGAAATAAAAGAGACTCTGATAAGTAAAGCATTAATGAAGAAGAACAGCAAAGTAGGAGGTCTCACAATACTTGATCTCAGAAGCTACTATATAGCCATGATAGTCAAAATAGCCTTCTACTTGTACAACCACAGACACATAGGCTAATGGAACAAAATAGAGAATCCAGACATAAGTTATCCACTTGTAGACAGCTGATCTTCAACACAGAGCATAAGTCCATTAAATAGGGAAGAGACAGTCTCCAACAAATAGTGCCCGCAAAACTGGATGTCTGTCGGTAGAAAAATGATATAGCATCCATACCTCACACCATACACAAAAACTAACTCAAATTGGATCAAAAACCAAAATATAAAACTTATAACTATAAAGATCATGGAAGAAAAAATACTGACAGTGCTAGGGACCTGAATATATGGCCTAAATAGAAAATCAAACATAACTAAAAATGTACAAACAACAGAAGATGAACTAGATAAATGGGACCTCCTAAAAATTAAATACTTAAGCTCATCAAAAGACTTCTCCCAAAGAGTAAAAAGAGAATCTACAGATGGGAGAAAAAATTTTGGCTGCAACATATCTGACAACGGTCCAGTCTCTAAAATGTATAGAAAACTTCGGTAACTCAACAACAAAAAGACAAACAGTCCAACTTAAAAATGGGCAAAGGATATGTACAAAGAAGACTTTCAGGTGGCTAACAAACACATGAAGAAATGCTCGTGATCATTAGCCACTAGAGAAATAACAAATCAAAAGTACAATAATATACCATCTCACCCTAATGATAATGGCGAATGCAACAATATGCTGGAACATTTTGTGTACAAAATTATCAAATGGGAAACTAATTCATTCTGTAAACTTTCACCTAAACCACAATTTAAAAAAGAGAAAACTTTGGAGTTTCTTATGAAATTTTTCCAAAATCCAAATTTCAGCATGGCATGCAAGTACCTTTCTTCTCGTGTCTTATTTATTTCAGTTCCCTCCCCTGTCCCTCCACACTCCAGTCATACTGAACTACTTGCAGTTGACTAGGTGCTTTCTTTCCTCTGAGCTTTTCTACACACTATTCCCTCTACTTGGAATGCCTTGTTCCCTTGATTTCCTTTAACCTGGCTAATTCCTGTTAGTCCTTTAGGTCTCCGCTTAAATGCTACCTCCTTGGAGATGCCTTCCCATCAACTCGCCGACCAGCTCTGAATTAGATACCCTTTCTCTATGCTCTCACAATACCCTGAACTTATTTCTGTAGCACCTATAAAAACAATTATATTTTCTTTTTAGTTTTCTACATTTTTCAGTACAGTTGGAGCTCCTTAAGGGCAGAACTCTATCCTCTCTGTTATTCCTAGGTTCCAGAACAATGTTTGGCATAGAAAAAACCTCAGTAAATATTTCTTGCATGAATGAATGAATCCCACAAGAATGCCTATTGCAAAGAAAGATTAAAAGAGCAGGTACCTGCTATACTTTCTCTTTCCACATCCAGCATTCTCCTGGTGTTCAGCCTTCAGATGTGGAAGAAGTTGTCAAGAAGGGTGTGCAGACCCTTGTGATTGGCCGAGGAATGAGTGAGGCCTTGAAGGTGGGTATCGCTGTGCACAGCATTCTGAGGACAGGTGATGATCTCTTGGACCTTTACCTTAGAGATATGTCCTTCTTAGGTGTCTGCCTCCACAGATCCTACACACTCAGCTTGCTGAGCCACTGTATGACCCAGGATGGAATAATGGCTGCACACACTACTGTTTATGACAAGGGTTAGCCTCTCCTCTCCCTGCCTAATCCTGGGTCTGTGCTGTTTCAGTTATTTCTCAGGAATACCTCCATCCTGGAGGGCTTTTAGTTTTCAAGCCCTACAATTACTGATATTTGATTATTTGCATTTTTTTTCTTTTCTTAGATACAATCAAGTTCTGTTTTTTTCCCTTTCAGAAAAAAAAAAAAATAATTACAGAACTAAAACTTGTTCATTGTAAAATATTCAAACAATAGAGAAATGTAGAAGTAAAAAAGTGAAAGATTTCCCCTCCCCAGTCTCCACTTTTTGTGTATTCTGGTCCAGTTTCTCTTGTATGCATCTGCAAACACACTCACTTAAACATACATGTATATACTTATATAAACATGTACATACTCATAGCTTTTCTACATAAATAGAATCACACTCTGTACTGTTCTGTAACTTTTTTCACTTTTATTATTATATTATGGACAGCTTTCGACATAAGTATATAGAGATCTGCCATATTCTTTCCTTTGTACAAATATCCTAAAATCTAGTTCCCTACTGATGAAGGTGCCCTATATTCATTTCTACTTTTTAGTTTAAAGTAGTTTTTTTTTCCCATTAAAATAATTTCTCTCTGTAAGACTTTTGTTGTTGTTTCAAAATCTTTCAAACAAATAGAAAAACAATACAGGATTTTTTTTTTTTAATATTTCAATCAGAACTCTTTCTGAGGAGGCAAAGTCTAATTAAAACTAAATCCAAAAACTAAACTCACTGCCATTGAGTTCTGACTCATAGTGGGTTTCCAAGGCTGTAAATCTTTAGAGAAGCAGACTGCCTCATCTTTCTTCCACAGAGCAGCTGGTGGGTTCAAACCACTGACCTGTTAGCAGCCAAATGCCTTAACCATTACACCACAAGAGCTCTTTAACTAAAACTTCTCTGGTAGCAAAATGCCTAAGGCACTTGACTTTTAATCAGAAGGCTGGTGGTTCAAACCCACCAGCCGCTCCTCAGAAGGAAGGTTGTGCAATCTACTTCCATAGTAATACCGCCTTAGAAACCCAAGGACGGGTAGCTATGAGTCAGATCTGACTCTATGGCAGTGAGTTTGTGTGTGTAGGAAAAAATACTCGGGGCAAGCCAGAGTTAAAAGGTGCCACCCAGTGATAGCTGTCCCTTATTGAGGACCTTTTATATTAATTTGTTCACAGAATATTTATTAAGCACCTTCTATAGGCCAGGCACTATTCTTGGCACTGATGACGTTGAGATAAGCAAGACAAACAAGGTTCATCCCCTTCATGGATAATAAAAAGGTAGACAGTAATTTCAGATAGTGATAAATGCTGTCAAGGAAATTAAATGGTGAGTTATAAGGGGCTGTTTTAAAATGGTCAAGAAAGGCCTTTCTGAGAAGACATGTGCACTGCAGTATATATGCATGAGTTAATTTCATTCTCACATCAAACCTGTGATATATTATTAGTCACATTTTACAGGTGAGGAATTTCAGGCTCAAAGACTGAATAACTGGCCTAAGCGCTCTTGGTTGATACATGGCAAAGTTAGAATTTAGATTCAGGTTGTTCTGACCCCAACATTTAATGTTTATTTACTTTATGTTCTGTACCACAGTAGACATTTTACAAACCTTAGCTCACTTAGCTGTCATACCAACCATGTGAGCAAGGTATTATTATCCCCAATTTACAAACATAGAAACAAAGGCTCAGAGATTTTAATTCACTTACTCAAGGTCATACCTGCTAGTTAGGATTTAAATTCTAAGCTGTCTGATTGCAAACTCCATGGCTTTTCCATTTCCATTTCACTTGTGCTTTATGCATGGATATTATAATACTTTTGTCAACTTTTCAGAGGCCTTCTTAAACTCCTTGGAGCTCTCTGCCAAATTTTGGACTGGTGACATGCTGGGTGATTGAGGAGTGACAGTTGTTACTGTCTGATTTTATAGTACACTTGCCTTGTGGTAGGAAAGGAAAGCCTAAGGGCCCTTCTGACTCACTCATCTCTTATCCTTTTTGCCAGGTGCCTGCATCAACTGTGGAGTACCTCAAGAAGCAAGGCATTGATGTGCGGGTCCTCCAAACAGAGCAGGCAGTGAAGGAGTATAATGCCTTGGTTGCTCAAGGAGTCAGGGTGGGAGGTGTTTTCCATTCTACCTGCTGATGGAGCCTTAAAAAGGAGAATAAATCACTAAGCAAAAATGCCTGTGACTGTAACTCTTACCACTTTCACATGTGCCTCTCACACACATTTTGAACACCTGTTTATGCCAAGTCTGGTGCTAGGTTCTTGGGATACACACATGACTAAGGCAAGTCCCTATCCTTTGGGGGCTAGGAAACAACAGAGAAGATAGGTGTTTACCGAAGTTTAATAATGTTAGGGCAGAAGTATAAGAAACTAAAGGCAAAAATAAAGCAACTTTCTGCCTTGAAGACTGAAGAAAAATTTTACTGCATTAAAATTACATTGCAGTTGAAACTTTGCAATGTTTAGCCATCAATTCAACTAATTATTGAATTCCTTATATGGGAGGCACTGCTAAGCTCCAGAGAAACAGCAATCCAAGTTTTACCCTCATGTAGCTTATATTCTAGTGGAGGAAGTAAGTAAACTAATAAGTATGTAATATATGTAGAAACGTTTTTTTGGGGGGGGAGCAGGATAAGAAAACAAAGAGTGATAGAGGGCTATTTCAGATAGGTGGCCATGGAAGGTCTTCACGTACATGACATATGATCAGAGTCCTGAATGAAGTGTCAGATAACCAAAGAAGGAGCCTCTCAGTTCCCCTAAATTAATAGAGTTGGACTAGATACCCTTCAGAGGTTCCTTCTGCCTCTGATCATCTGTGTTCTATTAAATACCCAGGTGGCCTTTGGGAAGCCTTGCAATAGACTGAAAAAACCATATTAAGTTATCAGTTTCACTGTTTTTCTTTAAAACGTTTTGAATATGGGCTTTGTTGTTAAATAACCTTTCCCCAGAACTATGACTCTCTGCCACTTATTTGAGTGTTTATTTAATAATCTCTCAGAATCTTACTTTTTCCATCTGTCCAATAGGGATAATCTTAGTACCTGGATCGTTGTAGGTATTGTTGTTATTTGCCATTGAGTTGGACCCGATTCATAGCGACCCCTCCTTGGGTTTCCAAGGCGGTATCACTAAGGAAGTAGATTGTCCAACCTTCCTCCCGAGGAGTGGCTGGTGGGTTTGAACCGCCAGCCTTCTGGTTAGCAGTCAAGTGCCTTAAGCACTACGCTACCAGAGCTCCTGTTGTAGGTATTAAATAAGGTAATGCATATAAAGTCTTAGCATACTACTCCAGATGGATCAAAGACTTAAATGTGAAACCTAGAACTATACAGTTTCTCAAGGAAAATTTAGGCTCAAACTTAAGGGCCCTAATATTTGGTATAAATAGACTACCAAGCATAATTCAAAATGCACCAACAGCAGAAGAGAAGCCAGATGATTGGGACCTTCTAAAAATTAAATGTTTATGTGCTTCCAAAGACTTCTCCAAAAGAGTCAAAAGAGAACCTACAGATTGGGAAAAAATATTTGGTAATAACATATCTGACAAGGGACTTATCTCTAGAATTTATAGAACACTCCAACACCTCAATAACAAAAAGACAAACAATCCAATTAAAAAAGGGGCAGAAGACATGAACAGACACTTCACCAAGGAGGATATTCAAGCGGCCAACAAACATATGAAGAAATGCTCACGATCATTAGCTATTAGAGAGATGCAAATCAAAACAACAATGAGATACCATCTTGCTCCAGCACTAGTATCAAAGTTCAACAAGACAGAAAATAACAAATGCTGGCGAGGTTGTGGAGAGATTGGGACTCTCATACACTGCTGGTGGGACTGTAAAATGGTACAACCATTGTGGAAAGCAGTATGGCGATTCCTTCAAAAGTTGGAATTAGAAATACCATTTGACCCAGCCATCCCATTACTAGGTATATACCCTAAAGAAGTGAGAGCCATAACAAGAACAGATATATGCACGCCGATGTTCATCGCAGCACTATTTACAATAGCCAAAACTTGGAAACAACCTAGATGTCCAAACCAAACTTTGGTACATTCACACAATGGAATACTATGCAACGCTAAAGAATAATGTAGAATCTGCAAAACACTGCATAACATGGATGAACTTGGAGGACATTATGCTGAGCGAAATAAGTCAGTCACAAAAGCACAAATATTGTATTAGTCCGTTATTGTAAAAGTTAAGGAAAGGTTTATATATTGGAGGACATTTTCTTTGTTGGTTACCAGGGGTGGGAGGGGAGGGGAGGGAATGCTGTTAGATAGATAGAGATAAATATTGATTTGGGTGAAGAGAAGGGCAATGTACCAAATGTGAGTGACCAATATGGCAGCATTGAGGATGAGAAAGACAGAGAGAGTTACATGGGCAGTACAGACAACAAATATGAACCCCTTTGCATATACAATACTGAGTTGTCAGTGAAAGCAAACATGGGTATAGGGACGGATAGATGGATGAACAAGCTAAACAATTAGGTATGTCTAAATGGAGAGTGTATCCAAGATCATATATAGGGTTGGCAGACAATGGGCCTATAAGTTCATGTGAATGATCAGAATTCCCAGGTGTATAGTAGAGCTGACAAGGGGCAAGGTTATGGTCATTACTTGGTCATAGCCAGCTACCCAGAGGAACCGAGTAGTTGATCCTGCGGGCTTGGGACCATGGTCGCAGGGGACATCAAGCTCAATTGGCATAACATACTATACAAAACATTGTTCCACCTACTACTTTGGCGAGTAGCGACTGGGACCTTAAAAGCTAGGAAGCTGCCATCTAGATGCAACAACGGGTCTCTCCTCGTCAAGAAGAAAGAAGAAAACCAAAATTAATGGAAACAATCAGTCCTAGCGACTGGTACACCATCCGATCTGCAACCTATACAACTATGAGACCAGAAGAACTAGATGGTGCCCAGCTACCACTGCCATCCACTTGGAAGGGATGTAGGAGATCCTGCATAAAGAGGAAGAACAATGTGGTACAAAACTCAAAATCATTTGGAGGCAAAAAAAAAAAGAAGGTGGGGACCAGTTTTGCTGGTCCAATAGAGCCTGGTGTAACCACTGAGACTATGGCCCCTAGCTGCCCTTCAGGTCTGGAATTGAACCCACAACTGTGGTTTCCAGCCAAACAAAGTACAGGCATGTGAATTAAACATTTACTTCAAGTAGACACACGCCCTGGAGAGAACAATCATGGGAGAAGGAAGGGCTGCTTATGCACAGGGAGACAGCTCAGGGTGCAGAAGATTATGAAGGGATGGACACTGGGAGGAGGTAACTATGGGGAGGAAGTGGGAGGGGAGCTGCTGCATTGTAAATTTTGGTCAATGACATGAGGCAAAGTATATGTGAACTGCTGTATGAAAAGTGAATTTACTCTGTAAATCTTCACCCAAATCCTAAAAAAAAAAAAAAGGTTTTAAAAAAAAAAAAAAAGTCTTAGCGTACTGCCTGGCATGTAATAGGACTCAAGAAATTAAAGTCATTGTTATCATTATCTTTCTGTTCATGGGGCTGCTGTGTAAAGCCAGCTAGTTTCATTTTATTGTGCTTAATACAGCAGTGTAATATTTCATAAATTTGTAGAATGTTAGACAAAGAAACTGTCTACTGTCTCTCCCTCATTTACTCAAATGTTCTCTTTCATGCCCATTTATTGAGGTTCTATTACTAATAGTCTTAAGACCAGTTATTCTGGGCCCTGCGACTACATGGATAAGTAAGTTATAGTTCCTGTCTTCAAGGACTTATGTGGAAGAGACAGATAAACAGTAATAATATAATGCATTAATATTATAGTTACAAGGTTCAGTTGTGGCACAAAGGACTAATTTATCCTACTAAGATGGAAGGAAAATTAGGGACAACATCAGTAGAAAGATGACACTTAGAAGAAACTACTTAAGCTGAGTCTGGAAGAATGAGATGTTCGTTATTCACCAAACACTTACTTGGCAACTCTTGAACTAGGTATTTATTAGGTATGATATTTTCATGATCATAACTAAATAAAAATGTCCACCCTTTCCCTTATTGAAGCAATATCTACAGAAAGCTGATTTTTTGCTCTACATGACCCTGCCAAGTGATTGATTGGTCCAGTTGGGCATCTGACCTAAGGGAAGCCAATCCATAAACTGGACAGCAACTTAAGAGGTGGTCTGGTCTGACAAGAAAAGATGAGCTAAGATAGAGTGGACAGTTAAGTGATTTTCCCAGTTTCACCCAACAAATGATGCTGTCTTGATCCCTTTCTACCATACACCACCTTGTACCATAGGCAGCTGATGGGAATGAGATCCCCACAGGCCTGATACCTAGGATAGAAGTCTAGGGAGGTCTTGCTGTGCAGCCAGCCATTTGTCAGATGACAGGATCTTTCTAGATCTCAGTTGGGTCAGAAAGTCAGGAAAACCCCTGTATAGTTAGGAGGGATATTTGCTAAAACTGATACTGTTTCTGTGCTGATGCAGTCGATGGCTCTGTGAGTCAGATGTAAAGTGAGACAACTCCAGTGGGTGTTGCATTACGTGTGGGTGTAATCACTGTTCCTAAGTGAGTTGTCTCCACATTAAAGAGAACTTACTACAAACTTCTTAGAGACAGAAATATCTGGGCATGAAGTTATTAAACTTTGCATATATAATAAATAGCCCCTACTTCTGAAGCTAAGAAGCTCTGGTGGCATAGTGCCTAAGGCATTTTTTTGACTGCTAACCAGAAGGTTGGTGGTTCTAACACACCAGCCCTCTGTGGAAGGAAGACTGGGCAGTCTACTTCCATAAAGATTTACTACCTCAGAAACACAAAGTGGGTTGCTGTGAATCAGAATCAACTCAATGGCAGTGAGTTTGTTTTTTTCTTTTTATTTTTTTTGTACTTCTGAACCTGGCCCTTGTGGCTAATGCCAGCAACTTTCAGAACCTGGAGAGAAGCAATTAACCCACATGACACTATAGTTATTTCCATGTATTTAATCATTAAACATTTGATTAGATTTGAATTTGTAGGTAGCACAGCCCTCACTCTGCACACTTAATTCCTTCTAGCTTGAGTGGTTTCTAGGACAAGAAGTCTGCCCGATGTTCTATGTGTACCTTTCTGCCCCAT